TTTTTTTTTTGCTACAACTAAAGACAAGCCGTTGAGAAGATCAGATGCTGTAATGAGATAATCATTATATCGATTATATAACGTGTTTATTCGACCTTGTAATGCTGTTGTTCGTTTATTTTTTGGCTTTGATGCACCAGACGACCATTGAAGTTGAATATTTTGTACACGTTTTTCTTCTGCTTTCATGAAATTAATCAAATCCCAAATATGTGGATGATGTCGATAAATTCTCGAATTTATTCGATTATGATACCCTACAATTACAAGAAGCAAATTAATCGTTTTACTCAACAGACATATATCCTCACCTTCGCACACATTATTTGTGCGGCTATCAAAGTCATATACATTCCATAAATCAATATTCGACATCCAATTATCATCAAAATATTTCAATAATCGGACCATTGGTAAACCGGGTAAAAGATTGGCAGCTTCACGTATTTCATCAAGACCATCTAAAATTTTATCACGTGGCATCAATGGTAAAGCCATTATTTTTCTACACAAACCACGTAATGTTTCATCAATAATGTACTGTTGCTGCAATCCCAAAAACTGGATCTTCCTGTAAATTGATTGAGAAAAATGAAAATAGCAGCAAACATGTTTAGCTGATGGAAACTAAAAAGCAACCAAATAGAAAAGTATGTTTTCCGAGTAAGTTATGAAATAGTTACTTCATCTTTTATTGCAGCAATCGAACCGGATTCAAAGTCGGTCATAACAACTGACGGAGAAAAAACCTTTTTCTTTTTTAAAGCAGCATTTTTTAATTCAATAAATATTTGCTTGTATGTTGCAGCTTTTTTATTCATCAACAAACTAAACACACATGGCACACCTTCAAATAAATGATAAGAAGCTTTCAAAAGGAGTGTAAAAATCTTACTTACAAATATCAAAATGCACGATATTTATTATATATATCTGGACGAATTGTGATGGAGATTTTTTAAATGTACCATCCATATAGATGACTTCAGAATTGAATAATAAATCCATTTGAGCATCACTTGTAAAAACCAACAAACGTTCACGTCTTACACGTGCTTCGTCAATTAATAAAAATCGTTTTCCTTCAATTGTTAATTTATATTCGTTGGGAATGTCGAATAAACATGATTGTGGTATTGGCGGTACCATTTTACGTCGATTTTTAGCAGCACTTTGATCTAAAAAAAGAGAAATTTATTAATTAATACTTGTAAAATAACTTACACATTTCATGTACCACTGGAAATATAGCTACTGCTGCTGAATTCATAACAGTTTTTGTCATCTCTTCA